TGGTCCCTAAAAGCACTAGTGTTCTGAAGGTTTAGAGCTTCAGACAGAAGTTTAGCTGTGTATTTTCACTGCATACAATGTGTAGTGAGCACTAACACAAAATTATGGGGGAAAGGCAAAATAAAACCAGTTAAAATAGGAATATTTGGACGATAATAGAAGCTTAAATACTCAGATACACAAGAATACCTTTATGAATCCCAATGATTTTAGAAAGAAATTTTAATCATAATTTGAGCAAATATCATCAATAAATCTTTAAAATGTTAAAAAATAGCCTATTTCAATATTTTGGGTATACTAATAACCTCTGATGAGACAGTGCTTTTAAAATAAATAAGTAGAAGGAAGCAAAAAATATCACAATTTAGTGACTAGCTAATTTCTGAGTAGCATTAACAATCTGGTGTGATATGACGAATTAGTATATGGTATCTGAAACAAAGAACAATTAGCAAACATTAGAATTAAGTTTATTTACAACTTATTAGCAAAGCTAATAAATAATTGGCTTACTGAAAACAGAACATCTTTAATTGAAGCATTAAGTGAATCCATGTTTAGATTCGTCTCCCAAAGACTGTGTTCAGCAAATATTGGCATGTGCCATCAACTCTTGCTTAATGAAACTGATAGTTGACCTTGTACATACAGAAGATCCAACTAATATACGAGTGTTACTTAAAAGGGATATTAGTAGTGTTCAGTCTTTGTTGAAAAAGTACATGTCATTAAAATGGTAAGTTAAAAATCCAGAGAAACTTCAACATACATGAGCTTTATGATAAGGGTTGTTGTCTTTGATTCCTGGCAAATATCTACGCCTTCCCAAAATGGTCTGAACAAACCCATCTCTTTTACAATTCTTCACTGTCTCTCTCATGAAATGATTAATCCCTACAAAGAAAATACAGAAATATTTAATTACAACCAAATTCCATCCTTCATTTCATTCACTGGTTTCAATACAGTGAAATATACCAAAACTCCACCATGATTCTTAACACTAATATATCATCAAAACTATGCATACAAACTTTCCTTCACTATTTCTAGATTCAAAAAGTTACAAACAAAGGGGACTTCAGAAATGACATAATCTAACCCTATCTTTGTTTTTGAGCAACAACAATAACACCATGACCAAAATATGAAATTAAATTCCAGAACAGAGCAGGTATCAAGGGGTTTTTAATCTAGGACATTAAGATTATTGCATACCACATTTATTTCTGTTCTTTAACTGCGTAAATCCTCTTTTACTCCTTGATCTTAACATTTCCAGGCTTAAAATATCCTGATAAGTCCTTGTTACCAATTATGCTATGATCCAAAGCAGGACCTTACTGAAATCAGTGCATGAGTTATAATATAATAAACATTTTAGTAGCAACATATATGACCCATTTCTTAAAATTCAAGAAGACTACATATAGTGCAGTATTCAAACACATTTCAATTTCCTAGACCAACAGTCATCCTTTTTAACCTAGTGCAGACAGATACTATGTCTTATGGATCTCCAGGATGAATCTCTTGCTGTTGGTGATATCTGACCACTAGCATAGGAATTTCAGAAAGCAATCAGGCTCTCATCTTTTTCCTTTTAAAAATTG